GAACTCCATCCCAAAAATATGTATATCGGAATTAGAAGATGTAAATGACAAAAAGTCAGAAAACTTAGCATGTAAAGAAGCAATATTAGTCTAAAAAATATTTATTGTTCTCAACTCTATTTGTTTTTTGCGGCATTTTGTTGGTTAGTACTAATAATAGTTGGAACTTTATTAATATACTTTATTGTTAGTTCCTTGTTAAGTAGATTACGTTTTTCCAGTTCCTCTCGCACTTTATTCAACTAGTTTATTTGATATTTAGTTAAGTCATCCTTCAATTGAATTCTAGAAAATTTGGTTACTAACAACCTCATATTATTGCGCAACATAAATAATGGACTATCATTATCTGCAAATTTAACCTTTAATAGCCTAGGTTTAATACTATTGATAATCTTTCCAATACACGAAAAACGCTGAAACTGATAACGAATATTTGCTTCTTGTATACAATCCTCCAACTCCATTGAGTTAGTTTGCGAAGGTTGTTCCATGGCCTCAATCGATGTGAGTCTATGTGATAACTTAGAAATTAAGTCAGTTAATTTATTGAACTTATCTTCGAATGTACAGCAACTATTACAGACGAGTCTTAGTGACTCCGATTTTGTCCTATTTATTCGTATAACTTTTTCTTGTGCAATATCTAGACATTGAATCATCATCATTATCATTTAACCCGGATCTATCTACTGCTGGATATAGGTCTCCCTCAGTCTTTTCCATGTATTTCTGTTTTGTGCTGTTTGCATCCAATTTTTGTCGATCCGTTTTATGTCATCAGACCATCTTGTTGGTGGACGACCTCTGCTTCGATGTGCTTCTTGTCTCGATCTCCACTGTATTATTTGCTGTGTCCATCTGTTATCCGACATTCTAGCTATGTGCCCCGCCCAGTTCCACTTAAGGGTCATAATTCTTTCTATGGCATCTGTCACTCCTGTTCTCCGTCTTATTTCCTTGTTCGTGATCCGATCCCTACGAGAAATGCCTAACATCGATCGTTCCATGGCTCTTTGGGTAACACAAATTTTATTTCTTACTTTCTTGGTTAGTGTTAATGTATCTGCACCATAAATGTAAGTACTGGCAACACGCACTGATTAAAGAAGACAGAAGACATTGTATATGAATCGGTAAATTGTATGACATACAACTAAGGGAATTTTTATTGTTAACAATCGACAACTTACAATTTGGACATTTGTTCATCTTTTATTGAGTTGCTGAAACTTGACTAGCCCAATATTTTATTGTTGCTAATGACTTTTCACATTTCGGCTCTATAAGCTACAGGTAAAAGTACGGATAATAGCAGACAATAATTATTGATTTTTTTAACACTTAATATTTAAACAGTTAGTAGTAAATAATTGAAAAACCATACATCCTTTAACTCTAATATGCGTTTGTTATCACTTACCACTTTTGAATATTTTAAAATTAATTAAGCAACTCTTTTTATGTGAATTTTACGCAGCAATATAAACACCGACCAGATTCGATCTCCTTTGAATCATATCCTAATATTATTTAAAAACAAACTAAAAACCTACACACATATTTATATCATTAGAACCGTAATTGAAAATCCTATAAAATGGTAAAATGATATATACAAAGAGTAAAATAATACAGATTTCTCTAGAAGTGACAAATTAATATCTAGACAGTTGTATTACTTATTGGCTATTACGCCTATATTATTTCTTGCGAAAGTTGAAGAAAATTAAAAGAAGATAAACTTTCATAATCTTAGCAAGTGAGAATCACTTTTTAAATTTTATTAGTTCGAGTTAACCGTTATAACAATTAAGTACTAGGACATTCAACAGGGCAGTCCAAAAAAAAACATCTTTGAGTGAGAATAACATTGTAATAGTAGTTATCTACCAGAAACTGAAACACTAAAACTAACGCTAATACTAATATAAAAATTACCACTAATACGTTATGCAAGGAACACTATTGTTTATAAATACTAAAATAATTTACTAACAACGCCTAAATAGGTTTTTAAAACTAAATAAGTTTTTTATAGATATATTACTTATAGAGTGTAAATTTTATGATATCCGGTTGCAGTATCTACTATTCTGTAACACGGTAAGTTTCAGCGTGACCAGTTCAAAATTCAAACCCATAACATTCCTACTAAGTTTTGTTATAATCTGCCAAATTGTTGTACAAAGTAATTGATACGGCAACCCTGTTACTATGTCGTTTCGTTTGAAGCGTTTCGCAGCCGAACGTAATGCTATCTATCGATGATAAATACTACCACTGGTTTCAGATGGTGTAAATGGTCTTTGGAGCCATCTCCTTACATTACACATTTGAAGGCGGCGGTTCAAGACATAATTCTTGTTTAACGAGATTTTTCATATGTTTAGGAAAAAATATTTACAGTTTTATTGCAAATATTTTCCACTTTTACAGTTTTATATATGTTGTTATTAAAAAAATTTTTGGTTTTTTACCGGAAGCTTTATTATAAGCAGAAACATATTATTTTTTCCTATTGGGACAAAACTGTAAATTCAAAAATTTTCAAAAAATTCCTAAGTATTTCTTATAATTATATCTTGATGCTGAAAAAAAATGAACAAAATTATATTTCTGGTTTTCCCGCTTTATACTTGGAAAAAAGTAGTTTTTTTGAGTTTTTTTTTAAACGAAAACATGAAGTTTGCTTAAAAGTTGTCAAAATACTTCTAGTCATTTCATACACCTTCTCAAATTTTTTCAAATTTTTTGAATTTGGAATTTATTTTTTGGGGGGTGCAGATCAACCTTAAAAACATTTTATTATATTAGGATACATCATAGATGGTTCCATAGGTATATGTATATTACTTAAAAGCATAATAAACTTTCAACAAAAATGTGTAGGCATCACATTTATTATAAAATGAAACTCTTCTGGAAATTGCATTAAAAACTAACAAATATACAATCAATTCAAAAAGAAATATTTGTTTCAATAATAATTTTTTAATATGGCATAAAGAAAGAGAAGTCGAAAATAATTAATTTGCTAATGAAAATAATGTGGGTGATGGTCAAGATAATTTTGGTACCGATTTCGAATCTGACGAGGATTATGTCGAAGAAAAACTACAATACCGATACTTACTGAAAAAGTGAACAAAATGATGGTGAAGCAGATCATGAACCAATTAGAAATATTTCAAGTTTACTTTGGAAAAGACGGGCATCGTTGGTTTTCAGAACAACCCTCAAGGCGTGGTCGTATAGCAGCCAGAAATATTGTTATACATTTAACAGGCCCCAAAGGAAAAGCCAGGATACTTCAGTGCTCTGAAGAAGCCTGGAACTTATTATTTAATGAACAAATGTTAGATATTATTATCGTTCTTTGTACAAATCGAGAAATCATTTGTGATAATGAATCGCTGTGCAAAGTTACGCCAGATTGACAAATAAAACAGAAGTGAAAGCCTTCATTGGGTTATTATTATAATCTGGTGTATTACGTGTTTCTAACTCTAACGTTGATGAACTTAGGTCCCTAAAATTTGAGAATGGAATATTTCCTGCTACTATGTCGCAGCAGAGGTTTGAATTTCTAGCTGTATGCTTAAGGGTTAATGATAAAGATACAAGAGCAATAAGAAAAACAGTGGATAAGTTGGCACCCATACGCGATTTATGGGAAATCTTTATAAGCAACTGTACATCATACTACACTCCTTTTGAATATTGTACTATCGATGAACAGCTCTTAGGATTCAGGTGGAAATGTTCATTTAAAATTTATATGAGTAATAAGCCTGATTAATATGGAATAAAGATAATGATGATGAATGACTCTAAAACATTTTATATGTTTAACACTAATTCCATATAATATTGGCAAAGTCCAAACACAGTATAATAAGTCAGTGCCAGCTTTTTATGTTCGAAAATTGCTGGAACCAATACAAAGAATCAACCGAAAAATAGTGGATAATTGTCAGTACCTCTGGCTGATCAAATATGGGCTTGGGTACACTGAAAAAAAATAAACGAGATATTCCACTGTCCTTTCTCCGTAAAAAAGTAGATACATCATTATTCGTATTTGATGAAAATAAAACTCCTCTATTACACTCCAAAGCCCAAAAAGTTGTTCTTTTGCTGTCACCATTACATCACGATAATTTGTTAAATGCTATTACAGGAAAACGAAACCTTATCCACACTCATAGTGAATCAGCAGGAAATACAGATACATTGACCAACTATGCAATTCTCATACTGCATCACGAAAATTTAGATGATGGCCACTAGTAATTTTTTAATATGCTTGATGCAAGCAGTATAAATGTAATGGCTGTATTTTCGCTAACAAATCCCAATTGGAAGGAAAATATATCTAATAATAGAATATCATTTCTGACATCTTTGGGGATGGCTTTAATTGAACTACTGTGAGACTTCAAACACTTGGGCAAAAAATGTGTGGCATGCTCGGCTTGCCTTTAAGCATACTGCATGGAGCTAAACTATGTTGTGGTCATCAAAATGAGTAAAATTGAAATACCTGGCTAAGAATGAATGAGTTCTAAAATTAAAAAATATTACCTTTTATGAGAAATACCATTTTGTAGTTAAATTAAGGAAAACTATTTTAATGTTTCTCGTTTTTTTGAAAATGTTTTTTGTATTGCTAAAATTTCGAGGCAATAAAATTTTTGATTTGATTAGTCTTGTGTATTCAATTGGGTAGACTCCTTGGAAATCATGAAATATTTACTTTTCTTTCTTCACAATAATCATTGGGTATCTGATACCAATGTGTGCAGTTTATGTTAAAAAACATAGGTGTGACCTTCCAGGGTCAATTTCAATTAACTTCATTTAAAAATAGAGTTTCCCAGATTATTGTCAAGTATATACACATCCTACTTACCAACTAATAAAATCCAGAATTTTCTTTCATCATTATTTTAGTGTTTATTCCCATGTGGGTTTGTAACTTAATAAATACACAGAAATATGTCAAAAAAAATTTATTATAAATTCTAAAAAATATATAATATATGTGTACCAAAACTCGAATTTTTTCATAAAATATGTGTGACCAAACGAATTTAAATGCCATGTAGGAATTATTTAAGTATAGTAGAATGGTGGATAAAACTTTAACAACTTTAACATCATTTCAGTTTATTGTATTTTTTGGGTATCTACTTCTAATTCACGATTTTTTCGATCGTTGTAGCAATTCTGTACCACCTGATGGAAGGTTGTAACATAGTAACATCCAAGTAACCTCAGGGGGCCTAATATAACAGTTTGTACAATGACTTCAATAGGTCGAAGGGCAGGTGTCATACCAACACAAAGAGAAGTTAGGATAGATGACTCAAATCCATAATAACTAAAGAATTTTCCAACCTGGAACATAAAATTTATTAAAAATATTAAAATGTCTGAAATTTGCTGTCAAACATATGAAATGGGTGGGATAATCTAGTAATAATTTACATACCAGTGCATCATCTAGCAGTCTTTTGGCAACATCATCAGGATTAGCTAATCCACCAGCTTCAGATATAATTCTTGTTTCTTCAGGTTTGTTTTTATTTTCATTGGCAAATCCTGGGGTGTCTGTATCTGGAGGCAATGCTAATGTAACAGAGATGTTATAGGGTTTTGCTTCCATGTGCACAGCTTCTGCAAGTCCTCTTACTGCAAACTTACAACCTGAGTATACTGATAATCCGTAAATTCCCATTAAAGAAGCTTGTGAACCTGTAAGAACTACAATTCCATCCTTTCTTTCTTTTAATCTGGGCAAGATAGATTTTACTGAATAAATACTTCCCAAGAAATTGACATCAATCAACTGTTTTATTTCTTGTAGTGTAAGGTCTTCTGTTTTTCCACATATTGCCATTCCCGCACAATTTACCATCATATAAATGGGACCTACCTGATCTTCTATTTGATTTATATTATTATCCAAACTTTCATAATCAACAACATCTACAGAAAGTTTACTGATTATTTGTTGATCCGCATTTACAACATGCTTCTGTATCTCTTGCTTGGCCTCTTCCAATCTATCAATATTTCTTGCAATAATTGTTACATTAGCACCTTCCCGGGCTGCGAGCATGGCTACGCTTTTCCCAATTCCACTGGATCCTCCAATAACAACTACATGTTTTCCATAAATGCTTTTTTTGCGCAATGGTTGAAAAACCAGAGCCAACATGATAAAAACAAGGGTTGCTACTATTAGGATGGTTAATAGAATCATTCTATTTTCTATGTTTAGAGCGATCACTCCACTTGTTTTAGAAATAAAAATAAAACAGTTCTATGTAGTATTAACAAAAATAAATTCCTAAAACAATTATTCACATTAAGAAATTAAGATGTTAAGACAAAACCACCTAACCAAATAAACAGTTTGACAATATTTTACCGGAATCGATGGGATGACAGCCAATCGATACTTGTAGCATCGAAAATCGTTCGAGATAATTTCTGTGAAAATAAGGTAATAATTCTAAAGTTACTTTCATAAATCATGACTTTCATATTTTTAATTTCCCTGAAATTGCTAGAGAAAATTGCATTGAGAATTGAGAAATAACATAATATTATAGTGTCATATTCACCTTTGGCTATAATCGAAATGAGGAATAGGAATCAATCACTATACGTGTAATAAGAAGTGTCTACTATTAGGCGTAATTAACCAACCTACAAGTTTATATTTCTAAAAATTGTTTGTATTTTCTCCATGTACTATTTGACTACTTTTTGTTTTTTTAATTAATTAAGAAGTCCTCGCAGTTCCTGTTACTCATACCTCTTTTTCCTTTATAAAATGATTTGAACATGTATCGTCCTTTTGAATAATAACTTTTGCCGTCTACATTTAGATTCCTTTTAGTAACATTGAATAACAAATAAAAAATAAAGTACTAAAAAAATATATTTAATTTAATGTTTCAACATGAGTCGCTAGTTACACAAAATATGAGAAAATATAAATAAAAATTAATACTGTGTTAGAGCTCAAATATTGGACTGATGAATTTTTCTTCTGTTTCTTTTCTCTGTAAGCTTGCAGCATTTTAGAAGCAGTATCACCTGGAGGATCCAGGCATTCAAACTCGCAGCATCTTTCACCAACTCGGAACTTTTTACAAAACTAGAAAATGTAAGGAAATCGTTACATATACATGCATATATTTTTAATATTATTCCTAAATGTACACCACATATTTAAATATTTTTGACACCAACATTTGTCTTTGTTGTACACTAACTCTGTCCATGCATTACTCGTAACTTACACCCCTATTAAGGATTTGATAGATGAATACGTCTTTGATAAAAAAAAAATTACGTAGAAAGCACACTTAACGAAAAATTTAATATTAGGTTTCGTAAAAAAACATAAGTCCAGTGTAGCAAGCTATTTTGTTGCGGCATCTTGATACAATTTACTATTTTTACTGGGAATTAGCCACAATTTTACTAATAAGTTTATTTTAACGTTTCAGTTTCCACTTCGGAAATTCAAAATACAAAACATTAATAAATTAAACAAATTTTGTTTTTGTTACTTAGTAAAAAATTCTTCTAGTAATTTAATTTTAGCTGATTTATTGGTAGTAATTAGTGCTTAATTTAGATTTAATAGTCTAATTTTGAAGGGATTTCTGGATAATTTCTGTACGTATTGCTCTTTCTTTGTATTATTAAATCATATAAATTATATTTAATTATATTTAAGTGCATACCAGAGCCTGGTTTTACCGGTCTGTTGGTTTTTGCTGGCCATCCAACCCAATGGCTTTTAGTACAATTCTGATAACAAAACCAGTTAAAGAAGAGATATAAAACGAGGTTACTGTCTGTATCTACATGAACAGTACAAATATAAACAATACTCCTACAGTTTCTACCTTAACCATGGCCATTCAAAGTGCTACAAACAACATTCCAGCAACTTCCGCCGCAAAATCTACACTGAAAGCATCTTAGTTCAGAAGCTATTTTGTTGTTGTGGCATTTTAAAGTAATTACTATTTAAATGGGAATAAGCCACAATTAAAGGGTAAAATACGTTTATTGACGTTTCAATTTCCACTTCGGAAATCGTTCTCGAATAACTCGACTAACCGATGGGCAACATAGAAACAATAATATATAACTTAACTGGCCGTTAACAAGATAACATCAGAATACTGTATCAAGAACGATTAGATGGAAAACTAAATGAAGCCTGTGATAATGTACCGAGAATTAATAGAAGTAGTAGAGAAGGCACAGAAAGCTTATCTGTGTTATCTTACAGATAGCACAAATATTCGTGAAAGAATATCTGTAAACAACACAGAACTATATACATTATAATTCGCTGATGACCAGCTAATACTGGCACAGGAAAAGATCATCATCATCATCAATCAGCCAATCGCGTCCACTGCTGGACATAGGCCTCCCTCAGTTCTTTCCAGTGTTCTCTACACTGGGCCGCTTGTAGCCAGTTTCCCGCTACACGTTTAATGTCATCGGTCCATCTAGTCGGTGGTCGTCCTCGGCTTCTTTTATAATTTCTGGGCCTCCATTCCATAATACGTCTTGTCCACCGTCCATCTTGTGTTCTGGCTAAGTGCCCTGCCCAGTTCCACTTAAGCGTCGTGGTTCTTTCGATGACGTCTTGAACCCCTGATCTTCGCCTAATTTGTTGGTTTGTTATGTGGTCTCGAAGGCTCACGTTCAGCATTGCACGTTCCATGGCTCGTTGTGTAACTCTAAGTTTATTCGCAGATTTTTGCGTGAGTGTTAATGTCTCTGCTCCATAAGTTTGTACAGGTAATACACATTGGTTATAAACCTTTCGCTTGAGACACATGGGAATTGAACTTTTTAGAATATGGCTTAATTTGCCAAATGCTGCCCATGTTAGACCTATTCGCCTCTGTATTTCATGTGTTTGATTGTCTCTGCTTATTTTGATTTCGTGTCCCAGATATTTGTAAGTGTCTGTTTGTTGTATGGTATTATTGTCAATAGTTATATTTCCACTCATTACGAGATTTGTTAAAATTTTAGTTTTCTCAAAGTTTATCTTTAATCCTGCTCTTTCAGACAGACTTTTAAGCGAATGCATCATAGAAACCGTATCTTGTAAGTTATCTGCGATTAATACAACATCATCTGCAAACCTTAGGTGATTTAATCTTTCTCCATCTATATTGATGCCCATATCTTGCCATTGAGTACCCTTAAATATTGACTCTAAAGCTGTCGTGAACAATTTTGGTGGAAATATATCAGGAAAAGATGACTAGGAATATATGCCAAGAAAATTATAAGAGGAATATCAACATATAATAGAAATCATTGAGGTCAAAAAGATAATTATGGAAGATGTTGAACAACAACAATTAAGGTGTCACGTGCATGTAGTTATTCATTCAAGTTGCGATTTAGAAAGCAGAAAGAATTAGAAACCAGTCGAGAGGAAGGACCGTTGAAGACGAAAAAATAGCTGGAGAACTAACATAAAGAAAATTATGAGCGAGAAAAATTGAGACGACGAAATATGCTTAGACATAAGCAGATAGAGGAGAAGTATACAGAATGGATAGTGACGACAGACGCTATGAAACGTTTCATAACACTTTTATGATGCTCAGAATTAACATTTCCTTAGTTTTTGGATATTGCCGTCCATCATTTTGCCAAACGATAGAGCCTAAATGGTTATAACTTAAATTCTATCATTCAAAAAGGGTTCTGAACCACTATCTTTTTGTGATATTTGTTTCACAGCTACCGTAAGCGTTCTCAATAAGAGCAATTATATTATCAGGAGGGACTGCAAAAACTTCTAAGTTTTGTTTATAGGCTTCTCGTATTGCTTACTTGGAGTCAGTGGATAGACTGGAGTCGAGTTATTCGATTTCTTCTGTTTCTTATTTTGACTTGTAATATGATATGATAATGATAATGCGTGAAAACCATACTCAAAGACCACAAAAATTAAATGTATGGTCAGTTATAGTAGGTACTTATTTAATTGGGCCATTTTTTATCGAAAGAAATTTAACGTCAGATAGTTGGTGTAAATGTTCGGCGTTATTTAGATGAGATATTTCCCGGACGATAAATTGGTAGACAAGGTAGAATTGAATGGCCTCCACGTTCACCCGATCTCAATCCTAAAGATTATTTTTATTAGAGATACTTGAAAAATTCAGTTTACAAAACTTAACCAGAAAGTCTTGCATAGCTAAGGCAATGAATTATCGATGAATCTCGAATAATTTCTAGACAATTATGGAGAAATGTGGTAGACGCATTCTACCATCGATTAGAGTGCTATCAACTCACAAATGGAGCACATTTTGAACACTTAATAACGTAACTATTAAGTTAAAAAATATTCTAAACTATCAATTGTTACGTTTTAATGTATTTTTAAATAGTTAGTATTAAAAAATGTATTGAAACAATTTAGGCGTTGCCAGATTTCTGTTTTATGTATTTAAGACCTTCCAGACTACATAAAATCATAAGTGTTACATATGGTTGAACTTGTATTTAATAGGAGATTCCAATAATGACGGAATATATAGGGTGATGCATTTGAAAAACCAAAGTTACTAGTAATATAAGAGAAACTGAAAATCTGGCAACATTGCAAATACCAAATATGGAATGTCCGTACCCCAAAATAGGCGTATCTCAAATTTTGTATAATTATGTCTAGTAATTTACGAGATAATTAGCCGTTTCCAAACTTTTGGGCCACTCTGTATACCTCCACTCTTCCCTACCTAGGCTAAATAATAAATGACATCAACAACATCAGTCAAGAAATACAAGCACGGATTATTAGCGGTAATAAGTGTTTTTATGCGTACAAAGACTTAATGAAAAGTAAGTTACTGATCGTGAGTCTAAGCTTAGAATTTACAAAAGAGTAATAATACCAGTGGTCACACATGGATGTGAAACGTGGACCCTCTCAACCACTGATGAAAATCAACTGAGAATAATTGAGCGCAAAATACCAATGAAGATATTTGGACCAACCCAATGCAGCGATGGTTCGTGGAGAATTAAAATGAACCACGAGCTGGATGAACTATTGCAGAGCACAGATATTGTTAGATTTGTAAAGTCACAAAGACTAAACTGGCTTGGTCACCTAGAAAGAATGCCAGATAATCGAGCTGTAAAAGTAGTCCAGAGATGGAAGCCCCAAGGAAACAGAACAAGAGGAAGGTCCCTTAAAGGTGGATAGACCACGTAGAGAGGGATCTTAAAACCATGAACATCAGGCAGTGGCGAAAGAAAGTATCCACAGGGCAGAATAAAAGAACATTGTTAAGCAGGCCAAGCCTCACAAAGGGTTGTAGCGCCATTAGAAGAAGAAGAAGAATGCATGATTATATAGTCCAGAGGCGCACCCAGGGGGGTTTTGTGGGTTAATCCCCACACTCAGGGCACCATTCCGATACTTATTACTCACAAATTTTAAGGACTCAACATGGAGGTAGCATGAAAAAAAATTTTGGTGTCCAACCAAAACCCCCCACAGTAAAATTCTAGGTGCGTCACTGATATAGTCGGTTATTGATTTTTGTTGTCTGGTTGATTGTGTCCTGTTACAGTAAACAAAATTATGTTAAATATATTTCTTACTTACGTATGGAGGATCACAATAAATTGCCTTGCACCACATTGGTTCACTGTGGTAACACACACACATCGTACATACTGCAGGACCTGGTACATACAGTACTCCATGTTCAATGGTTTGTCCTTGGAAATCGGTACAATCTTCTTCAATTGCTCCTATATTGAAAATATACAAATCTTTATAAAAAAAATCAGTAAATATGTCAAATACGACATGGAATTCCACAACATGAAGCTAAAGGGATGAAACAGATGAAAACATCAGTCAAAAGAGTATAAATATATATTTTTTAACTAACTGAGTTTGTTTGTTAACAAAAGATATCGAAATAGTTTCAACAGTGTTAACCTACCCAGGCGCTGATATTCAATCTGACCACAATCCTTTAGTGGGCGTGTATAGAACTAAGTTAAAGAAAATACGCGGAAAAACTGTAAAAAAACATGACATGAGAAAACTGAAATGTAGCGAAGTAAAAGAAATAGTCAGCAAAACATTAAATAGAAAATTTAAAGAAATCGATAATACAACGGAAAGCACAGAAGATAAGATAGAATCCCTTAAGAAAACAATAGACGACATTAAAGACAATTTTATGAAGAACGAAGAAGGTAAGAATAAGACATGGATGACGACAGAGATTCTGCAGCTAATGGAAGAAAGAAGGAAAAACAAGAACGATAACTCCATGTATAAAACATTACAGCGAGAGATACAGAGAAAGATCAGAGAAGCCAAACAGAAAGAACTGGAGAAAAAATGCCAAGAAATCGAAATTCTCCAAAGTAAATACGACGACTTCAAAGTGCATAAGAAGGTAGGAGAAATTACAGGTAAATGTGAAAACAGAAGAATAAGTAAACTTGTTAATGACAATGGAGAGATAATCGTGGACAAAGAGAGTATCAATGATACCTGGAAAAATTACATAAGAAATTTATTTTTTGATGAGAGAGAGAACCAGCCCCCAATACCTACGGAAACAGGACCACCTATACTAGTGGCAGAAATAAGAGCAGCCATAATATCACTAAAAGAAGGTAGAGCTCCAGGACCAGACGGAGTACAATCTGAATTTCTTAAACTTCTTGATGATGAATCTTTAAGAGTACTATGTAAAATCTTCAATAATATCTATGACACAGGCAATATCCCAAAAGATTGGCTACTTTCAGAATTTATTACCTTACCAAAGAAACAGGGAGCAAAAAAGTGCGGAGAATATAGGCTAATAAGTCTAATGAGCCATACATTAAAACTTTTTCTTAAAATTATACATCGTAGAATATACAAGCTATGCGAAGAGAGAATACAAGACACACAGTTTGGATTCATGAAAGGCGTAGATACAAGAGATGCACTGTTTAGTCTACAAGTATTATTTCAAAGATGCAGAGATATGCCTTGCGATATTTACACCTGCTTTGTGGACTACCAAAAAGCATTTGATACAGTTCAACACCAAAAAATGATGGATATTCTAACAAAAGTCCAAATGGATGATAAAGATCGGCGTATAATACAAAATTTATACTGGAACCAATCAGCCACAATAAGAACGAATTTTGGAGGTGAACCAACGGAAATGATCCAGATTCTACGAGGCGTTAGAGAAGGTTGTATACTTTCACCTATATTATTTAATCTATATTCAGAGGAAATATTTAGTGAAGCCTTGGAAAAATGCGAACATGGAATACTTCTAAATGGAGAACGCCTAAACAACATCCGTTATGCAGACGACACCGTTATTTTTGCAGACAGTTTGAACAGTTTACAGCAACTAATAAACAAAGTAAATGAAGTAAGTGAAAGATTTGGACTTCAAGTAAATATAACAAAAACTAAATTTATGATCATCAGCAAAAATAAAGTTAGAGACGCTCAACTACTTATCAATAATACACCAGTGGACCGAGTAAAACAGTATAACTATCTTGGAACAACAGTAAATGAACAATGGGATCACTCACAGGAAATAAAATGTAGAATAGAGAAGGCTAGGAGTGCATTCAATAACATGGCCAAACTCTTTAAAAGCCACAATCTTAATCTGGAGATAAAATTAAGGCTCCTACGATGTTATATCTTCTCAATATTGTATTACGGAGTTGAATCCTGGACACTAACTGAAGCAATGGAGAAAAAACTTGAAGCCTTCGAGACGTGGCTATACAGGCGAATTCTAAGGATATCATGGATAGACAAGATAACCAACGAGACCGTATTACGAAGAGTGGGCAAAGAAAGAGAGGTGATGTATACCATTAAAAGGAGAAAGTTGGAATATCTCGGACATATAATGAGAAACAGCACTAAATACAGATTACTGAAGGTAATCCTACAGGGTAAAGTATTCGGAAAGCGAGGAATTGGGAGAAGGAGAATATCATGGTTGAAGAACCTGAGGAAATGGTTCTCCACAACAACAACGAATCTATTTAAAGCATCAGTTAATAAAATAATTATAGCCAGAATGATTGCCAATATTCGGAACGAATAGGCACTGAAAGAAGAAGAAGAACTAACTGAGTATTAATACTTTGTTGTCAATAGGTATTTCAAAAAAATCATTTCATAACTTCTTTATTTAAACGAAAATTGTTACCTCAATTAAGCTAGTTAAATTAATTACGAACCATTCTTACAATCAATATTCCAAGCAGATCGTTTAAGAATGTCAAGGTAAAACTAATAGATGTCAATGGGAATGTCACATAAAGTATCTTAATGTTATGTACATATAGTTCAATGGCGTTAATAAATTTTGATGACAATTGACAAATAGATGAGTTAAATCATTTAAATAAGGATACTTGGCTTACCTGAGTAATTTAGAGTATAAAATAAACAAAATATCAAGATGACCCATTTCATTTTGACTTGCAGCGGTCTACCAAATCAAACAGTTTTTGAGTGGTCAATAACAAGTGATTATTCCCTTATTATCTTATTGCACTAGTTCAAGTTCGTAGACAATCACAGATGAATACAGTGTTGGACTAAAGAAAGTCACGTACGGTTTTAGATGGTTCCAAAGCTATTTATTATTGAAATCATGGGTCAACCTGTTCAGTATAAGGTTGAACATAGTTTTCTCTTAAAACTAACCTTAAAACTGCCAGTATTCAGTGTGTTCTCACATCATGTAGATGGTTTTCCTTTCCTCTAAAGCCTTTGTCAGTTCTCGGTCGCCATTCGTATATTTTTTTATCCACGTGCCTTCATGACCATGGTCAGTTCATTTCTATGTTACTATCCACTTCTTTGTTTGTATATTGTGTTTTCCTTATCCAATTTAGTTCTCCTTTATAGGTTATCGATTTTCTCTCATAGTTTTTTGTAATAAAGGAAATACTACAACATAGCATTTATGTACAAAATGATATAGGCGGGTTATTTTGAATTTGTCGGACTTAAACACAAAACTGACAGTTACAGCACGCGTCCATAATGGTACCCTATAATCTATCAAATTTTGCTATTATCGATTCTTTCGTCTTGGTGTTATGGCCGAGTATTGTTCAAATGGTTTTTTGCTGTATATTTATTTATGTAGCATTTGTTTCATTCCTCAAACACTAACTTCCAATTAAATGACTCTTTGACATCTTTAGAAAAGAACTCTTTGTATATTTATTTACAAACTTTCCTCTCCTCAATCCTTTAGCCCTTGTCAGGGCGTAGTGACACCCTAAATATTATTAGTCTGCTGTCTCCATTGACTGCGATCTTGTGCCATATGGACGGCTTCATGTAGGGATTTTCCCACCAAACTCTTCATTTGGTCCACCCATCGTATTGGAGATCTTCCTCTTAGTCTTCGGCCTTCTACCTTACCTTCTACTACCAATAGTTCCATGGTGCCCGTTCTTCTAGCTATGTGGCCGAAGTAAGTTAGGTATGCTTGGTTTACTTTTTTTAGTAGCCTGTCTTTTATATGAAGCTCTTCCAGAATTGACAGGTTGGTTCTATGTTCTGTCCAGGACACGCGTAGAATTCTTCTATATACCCACATTTCGAAGGCTTCGATCTTACTCCTATCGATTTTTTTGAGAGTCCATGTTTCAGCTGCATATGTAGCAATGGGAAAAATAAGGGCATTGACCAACCTGAGCTTAGTATTCCTTGTTATTGTTCGGTCTTTCCATATTTTAATTAATTTAGCAGTTGCGGTTCGGGCCATTCCTAGTCTACGTTTGATTTCTGATTAACAATCACCATTGTTGGTTATCAGAGAGCCCAAGTATACAAATCTGTCGACTACTTCGAAAATCCCTATTTGGCGTATATGCGGTAGATTATTATTTGCTCTGTCTATAATCATTATTTTTGTTTTTCTGGTGTTGATTTGAAGTCCGAATTCTTCACTTATTCGGCTTAGCCGTTCGATGATGGTAATCATTTCGACTTCATTCGCTGCTAGTATAAGTGTGTCATCTGCGTATTGCAGGTTACTGATTTTTCTGCCTCCTATAGTGATTCCTCCATCTCATTCATCTAGTACTTTTCTCATTATATATTCAGAATATATGTTGTACAATAATGGTGATAGTATGCAACATTGTCTAGTTCCTTTCTCTGTTTTGAATGCATTTGAATATATTCCATGTACTTTAACTTTGGCTGAGTTTTTATTATACAGATTTCTTATTAGGTTAACTAGGTGGTTAGGTACTCCCATATTTTCCATTATACTCCAGAGAGGATCCCATTTTACTGAATCAAAAGCCTTTGTGTAATCTACAAAACAGAGCAACATTGGTATGTTATGTTCTCTCGCTTTTTCTACTATCTGTCTGGTGTTGAGTATTTGCTCACGCGTTCCCTTTTCTGGTACAAATCCACATTGTTCTTCGGCTATCTCTGAAAGTAGAAAGTTCTTTAGCCGTTCATTGATTATATGTAGCAGGATTTTGCTTGCATGAGGGATAAGGGCAACGGTTCTGTAATTGCTGCATATGGTTAGTGATCCTTTTTTATGGATAGGGATCAAGGTTGATTCACACCACTCATCAGGCCATTCACCTGTGATCCATATCATGTTGCACATATCCAGCATTACATCTACGCCAATTTCGCCTATTGCGTTTAGAGTCTCCGCTGTTATGCCATCGATAAAGTTTACAAACTTTACTTTTTTAAATATTTTGTGTTATATATACCTAAGTATGTTTTTTTCAGATACCAAAATGCCTCGTGATTTTAAACGAACGACTGATCAGCAATTTTTGTATCGAATGGTCATAAATTCTAAATAACAGTAAGTAACATTGCTGCCGACTAGGCAAAATTCGGTTATCGGCAGTGGCTAAGCGCACACGCCTGAGGCATATAATTAATTTTTAAAGTTTTGATCAAAATAACCCCCGAGTTCAAAGTATCCCCAATCTACGGTAACTAACATTATTAATGCAAACACAACTTGTTTACAATTATCTCACAAAGTTGTCAAAAGAGGTAGATCATGATAATTTAGAAGTTACTTTGTACTCTGATAATTTTTGTGGCCAAAACAAGAACAGGTACATAATATCAATGTATGCTTATGCAGTAAGAACTCTCAAGATTAAGGCAATCAACCATAATTCTTTGATTGTTGGTCACACACAAAATGAGGAGGACGCCGCTCATACTGTCATTGAAAAGCAAATTAAGAAGACCTTGAGAAGTGGATCCATCTTCATACCACAACAATATGTCACAATTTTAAGGACATCGACAAAACGAGGGAAAGAGTTCACTATTAATGAACTGTCTTACAAAGACTTTCTAGATTTCAAGAGTCTTCAGAAGCAGCTGGGATCAAATTTTGAGATTGATCAATCAGGCCAAAAGCACAAAATAACTGAAATTAAAATGATGAGGTTTGAGAAGTCCCAACCGAATTCTTTTTACTTGAACACAAGCTACGAAGACGAAATGAAAGAAGTTACTTTCCGCCAAAGAGCCAATAAGGTTCCCAATTTACTGCCAACCTACAAAAAAAGAATGTATATTGATGCTAATAAGATCAAATATATAAGAGATTGAATTAAAGCACGTGCAATACCTTTGACCTATGAGCCAGCTTTCTTCGAAAATGGTCGTTTTCTTAAGTCTTTCTTATCTTATTAAGTTATTAAAAGTTATTACCAGAATAAATTTCACTATTAAAAGCAAAATAGTTTTTATTTGTCATTATAAGCTTGATATCCTATACCAATTTTTAGGAGAAAATACAGTGACAATAGTGTCATAACCCACAAAAATATATTTTTTAGCAAATTCTTTAATGCCATTGTCCCATTGTTAATATAGCAATGTATAACAGCATTGAATAAAACCGAAGGCAAAAATTAGCATTGGTAAGTTGTGAGAGCGCGAAATTAACAATTAAAAGAAAATAGCAAAATTTGTTTCGCGTCTCCTGTAAAATTGGCTTTTTCGCGGTTATGGCAGTTTCGGGAATGGAATTTACCCCTTTAGAGAAGGAGAGACATACGGAATGATTCAGACATGCTTGTAATGATGACGGCTAATTTACACCAGAATCGACATGATTGAAAATAAGAAAAAATTCTTAGTCAACTAATAAATACTGCGTGTTCTACATAACTGAAGATATTGACCTCTAGCGCACTATTTGTTAGCCCCTTTATTGAATGAATCAGGCAAATAAAACAATTTATCGGTCCGGTGCTGCACAGGCTGGTAAAGTCACGAAGTCAATTATACTAATATTTTTGCGTCCGGTAATCTTTGATGAATTATCGGGACAACGTAGATTTCTTCTCCGCGACAGATTACATTTAACTGTAAACAACGCATTTTTAAAGCTTTATACTGACTTAAAAACAAGGAAATAGTAATTATTAATTATAAGATAAAGAAATTTGATGTATTAATAATATTGATTAAATATTGAAGGTATTTCAATACACCCTACAGCACTATAAGTTATACTTTATAGTTGAGCCTCGACCATCCCCAGTTTATTCCGCCAATCGATTCTATTCATTACTAACCATCGCCAAAATCCAAGGGTACCCCCTTAGATGATTTTTTCCAAATTTTTATGAAAAAAAATTTTTTTTTTTATATTTTGATACAAGTACTCGGTCCAGCTTATTACAAAAATGTGTTTTAGTCTGATCCGCTAACCCAAATTTGCGGAAAAGAGAAAAAATCGAATTAAAAATTCTCCACTTTTTCAGCAAATATAGACCTTCAAATGAAAATTTTTCTCACGAACCGTTAGATGTAGGAAAATTCTGAGCATGGCAGAAGAACGAGCGGTCAATTTTATGTAAGAAATGTCCACTCGCTTAACTCTCGGACCAAAATTGACGCCAATATAGCCAAATAACGAAATTTGCAAAAATTCTTGGATGATTTTTTCCAAATTTTTACGAAAAAAAATTGTTTTTTATGTTTTGGTACAAGCAATCGGTCCAGCTTATTACAAAAATGTGTCTTAGTCTGATCCTCTAACCCAAATTTGCCGGGAAACAGAAAAAATCGAATTAAAAATTCTCCACTTTTTCAGCAAATATAGACATCCAAATGAAAATTTTTCTCATGAACCGTTGGATGTAGGAAAATTGTAAGCATGGCAGGAGAACGAGCGGTCAATTTTATGTAAGACATGTCCACTCGCTTGACTCTCAGACAAAAATTGACGGCAATATAGTCGAATAACGAAATTTGAAAAAAATCCAAGGGTACCTCCTTGGATGATTTTTTCCAAATTTTTATGAAAAAAAATTTTTTTTATGTTTTGGTACAAGCGCTTGGTCCAGCTTATTACAAAAATGTGTCTTAGTCTGATCCGCTAACCCAAATTTGCCGGAAAAGAGAAAAAATCGAATTAAAAATTCTCCACTTTTTCAGCAAATATAGACCTTCAAATGAAAATTTTTCTCACGAACCGTTAGATGTAGGAAAATTCTGAGCATGGCA